CAGCGCGAAAATCCAAAATCCAAAATGAAAGAAATCTAGTGCAAGAATTACGGAAGCTTATCCTTCAACAGAAATTCTTTCTTATTTACCATATAACGCATAAATGGCATGGGCTGATAAGACGTTGTGCTTTAAAAATTATCCTCTAAAATAACCATATTTGGAAACAGACTCTCTCCTATGCTTTATATATGTATTCTCTAGCTATAAACTAAATACTGCTTGCAGTTCTGATAATATTTTGCTTTGTTACCGTTCGTTCTAAGCGTGCAAGAAAGCATGTTAAACAAATTAAAAATTGTTGTAAATTCTAATTGAGCAAAATGTAATGCATTAGTAAACTGTCAAGTAAAGTGAGGGAACCATTTATTAATAGTACACATCGGTGCATATGTTTGAAATACATGTTGGTGTGTGAAATCCCAAATCGTGCAGCATTTAAATCTTGGTGGCGAGCGAAGCTTTCGGATATCTGTCACTACTGGTTAACCTAAAGAGAAATGAAGTTGACATAAACATTCGATTTTATTATTACAAATAAAATTCAATACCTTCTTAACGCACAAGAATATGTATTTTCCTTGTTCATTCGTTTTTAAAATTTGCAGAAAGTTTAGCAAGCTCCTTAAGTCGTTTCACTACTCCGCTGTCTTGCAGGTCGTTTTTGCTGATGAAAAACTTTCGAAAGTTTCGTACATGTTCCTGCTCTATATCGTTTTGGCCTGTGAATAAACTTCCGCTCGCGTGAAGCGTGTTTATTCAGTTGTGGGGAATTCGATGTCGCCCCCTAGTTATACTGCTTTTCCAGAGATTTTCCACTTTTTTAGTTCTCAAGGCGTGCTTCTTATAATGGCACCTTTGCATTCGAGCACCACGAAAGCAAGTAAGCGCAATTTACTGCGCAAATTTCTTCGGGGGGGATACCTGTCGTTTCGTTCTCTTCGGCAATGAGCGTTTGGAAAGCTCGTTACAGAGCATGCTTTCTCTCTTGTTACATTCTGGCCTTTGTTTTGCTCTATTCAAGGTACATATTTTAACATTTCTTTTAATCTCTTCCAAAACAATCGCACCAACGTCCTGTTTCTGCGCTACTTTGGCCATAGTGTATTTTGTAGGAGAAGAGGAAAAACCTCCTCGTCCAGCAGACTTTCGTTGAACTTCCATGAGTTCCAAGAAAATAGCTATTTTCTTTTTTGGCTATCCGGCATTCCTAGACGCACACTGGCCAATACATGATCGGAGAAAGCTTTTGGGGATACCGCGTAGGCGGTGACGGCATTAGTGAGGTCACTGGACATGTACACCCGGTCTAAGCACGCACGACATCTCCCCTACTTATGCCTGTATCCAGGTGGAGGACCCTACACATTTCCCTAGAATCTAAAAAATTAAAACTCCCGCTACAGATTTTCCTTTAATTTTGATCTATTGGGGTCAGACTCAAGAGCGTGCGAGCAGTCCTGCGTATTTAAAACGCTGTTAAAGTTCCCTGCAAGAATGGCCTGTGCACGCGGACTAAGGTACTGCTTATGGTTAGTGAAAAAAAGCGTAAGCTCCGGTGGGCGTTTGGGGGGAGTATCCAGACACGAAATTAAACGACTCATGGGGATGAATCACTTTAGCCGCGCAAACAGGGCCATTTTTATATGACTACCATTCAGGATATATCAAAAAGCCTCCATTATTTCTTATCGAAATTGCACCGCCAACGCTATTCTTGACAGCTCTTACCTTATATGAAACAAGAAACGTTAAAAAAAACGTGCATATCATTGATATGAGTCTCTGAATAAGATGGTTTAGTCTCACAAAATAAATTGATCTTGACGTTGTCTTTTTTTTCAAAAACTGATCTTAATGTTGCCGTTTTCTCATTCTAGAATTTAAGCTTACCAAAAAAAAGTGGCCATTTAACACTCTGCATATTGGGGACAGTACTGAAACAAAGCGACAAGATACAAGGGAAGCAGGGTCATCGCATCGCGTACTAGCCAGCTTCTTCAGGAAGTCCAGTCACTTACTATCGGTCTTGTCGTCGCCTGCCCTCTATCACGATGCGGGGCAGTCTTTGTACCGTACTCGTTTTGCAATACCTCCCACAGCATTTGTTCGATTTTGAAGGGCCTGTTCATTAAGACCGTGGTGAAATCAGTAGGTAGTTTGCCTAGGAAGTAGTCGGGCCGTGGAGGGTTGTTGGTGTCGTTGTCACCTTCTTTTTGCGGGTTTTTACTTGCCATCAAACCTTCGGGGTCTTCGACGAACGGAGCAGACGACTTGACTGCTGCCTCGCCAGGTGCGATTCTTGGTTTCCGGCTTGTTTAGGAGCAATGTGACATCGTCGGAATTATCGGTGGGCACAAGGGTTGCGACTGCAGGGAGTGATTTTGTTAACAGTGGAAGCCAATCGTTCTCCTCGAGTTATACTTTGTGCCAAGGCGTCGGCCTCGTCTTCCTTCATCTGGAGGCCCTGCGAGGCATTCGTGGGAGCACCCTCGGTGATGTCAACATACGTGCGGCTGCAGTCCTCGGTGACATGTCCGAAACTACGGAGTGCTGAAAGCGGGGTACTCTGCAATTTTTTCGAATATAATCAGTCTATTCGCACCTCAGGTACGAAAGTGCCCGTCCGAGAGCTACAGCCAAGACGTTTCTGGCACAGATCCTTAAATACTCTTTCAGGCTAAAGCGAACCAGCCTCGTGTAAGACTCTACGACTTGAGAGCTGGCAACCCTGTATGTGTCGCGGGCAATTTTTTGGCACCTTCCTGTACTGCTCGGAGGCCTTCCGAAGCCCGTCGTCAGGAACATTGCACGTCACGCACCGTATTTTCAGTCAAACCTCAACGTTGTACGCGCTGAGCTCAATGCACATCTTGTGTTTCACGCACAACTCTCGTGCTCCTATTATCCGTTCCCTGACCGCCGCGTTCTGAAGTGTCAGCGTCCTCCAATGGTTCATTTTGTATGCATCTAGTGGCGCGGTTTCTTTAAGGAGGACTGGCCGGTCCAGTTCGGCCCTGAAGTGGTCTACCTTGTAATATAGACCGGTTACGTCGCAGTGGAGGAGGAGGGTATTTTCAGCAAAAATTCCAGATGGCAGAGAGGGGAGAACTAAGCGATGAGGATCTGTCGATGCAAAGACTGATAAGCCGCGGCCATACTCTGTAGCAGGGATGGGCAGTATTTCAAATACTTTGTGTATTTTGCATTTGTATTTATTAAAAATTGGGTGATGTATTTGACGTGTGTATTTAAATACTAAAACGTGGGTATTTCAAATACAATTGTAATTAAATACAAATTTGTGGGCAAATTTATTGTCACGACAATTCGTTTTTTTGCATGTGGTTGTAAGATATAGTCTCCATCCTTTATTTGGCCATGAGGGTTTTTCCTTTTTTTCCTCCGGCTTTATTTTAAAGGCACTGTCCAGACCAGGGAGAAAACTACGTTCTGCACCGAATGCAGTGTCTCTCAATCAAGCACAAAATGTAATCGACAAAAAAAGCTGCTTGAAGCTCTGTACATTTTTCACCTATTACGTCCAAGCTGATTACATTTTTTTTTGTGATTATATTTTTTATTACGTTACTAGTGCCCCGCACACTAACTCCCGAGTGTGAGATGCAAAGTTAAAATGAGATACCCAGAAACCCGTTGCAGGTGCCCTGAAGTTGCTGACGCAAATTTTGAGGAATGTATTTAGAAAAGTATTTGTAGGAGACCAAATACATTTGGTTGTATTTGTATCTTGTACTTAAATGCCTTTTTGGAAATGAAATTAGATTTGTAATTAAATACATTTTCGATGAAGTATTTTGTATTTGTATTTCGATACATATTTGCATGTATTTTGCTCATCTCTGCTCTGCAGTAACCGATGCCCATTGCAAGTAGTCTATGGAAAAATAAAAAAAAGATAGCTGATAACAAAATGCCGTTACAGCGCGGTCAAGGTCAGAAACTCGTGGCGGGTGTCACACTTTCACGAGCTCCGGGCCAACAAAAACCAGAAGAGTTCGTAACAGAATGGCTGGATGTTTATTTTGTTACGAACGCTTTTGTTTGCGCACCATATAGTGCGTGAACGCGACCATGGCCTCCAAGAGTTTTCGTGTGCTTGCAAAAATTATGTTGAATGTTATGTTATGAAAAATTATGTTAAGCGCATTCTATCATTCCCCTCGGGTGTTGTCAGTGACCTTTTTTTTAATACACATTCAAGCACTATTTCTGTTTTCTGTGGTATGTGGAATGCAAACTACTGTCATAATTATCTGGTCCTCTCTCCTTGTATTTTATCATTTTTCTCGGATGAGTGACCCTCTGAGCAAATGAGTGGTTCAATAAATTAAACAATTAAATAATACCATTTTTTCCAAAGTCTTCGCAAGTTTATCATTATTGTTTGCTTCCTTTTTATGCTGGTGATTTGGTTGATCTAGCCCCAAGTCTTTTTTAGGTTTCCGTGGCACTTCTGTAATCTATTTGTTTAATTATACTTTTTTGCTAGTCTTATCTTTGCGATTACCTTATTGCGTCACTTTCAAAATTTCGCTCCTACTTGAGAATCATCAGGGTTGGCCTTACATATATTCCATAACCCTTATTTTTCATGGCATAGTGTCATAATTTTATCATAATCATAGAGAAATCAATATAAATATACATCATGGCAATTTAGCGAACAAACTACTTGCAAGGCTAGTTTTGGGATCACTTTTTACGTGTGTCTTCAATTATTTATTATAAACAAAAAGGCTGAGAGTGTTTACCAAGTGTTTTTTTTTTGAGGCTATACCTAAATGTTATGTCATCCGCATTTCATGTAAAACCTCTGTAAAGTCTATTGAAGCTTGTAACTGAGGAATCGCTACATCAAAGGCAATTCAACAAATGAAAAGCTATAAAGACACGGTTTTCCTCACAGACGCTTCAACATTTTCTAATTATGTCGTTTCCAATGGCACCTAACTTCAGTTTGCGGCGTTATGACCACAATGTGCTCACTGGATCTAACCAAGTAAGATAGAACATTTTTCAAAATAACGTGGTAACTAATTTGACTAAACTAGAATTGCGATTACTTACGTGTATAGCATGACGCAGAGAGCCGTTCCTATTCTCGTTTACACTGCGGGAGCGACTGTCTGCATCGAATAAGCAAGTGACAGTGACACTTTACCATAGTTTTTTTTATTCAGTTATCTACTCCTTCATCTGGCACTGCAGTAAGAGGTAAAACATAAAAAAACTGATGAAAGGAGGTTAGATATTCAACGCGTGAATACGGCGTCATCGGAAATTATAATGACCGTGCGTGATGGAAGGAAATATTTTGAAACCTGGACTCTACAAAAAAAAAAAAAAAATGTCGCCGAATGTTTTTTTTTGTCCCCCCCCCCCCCCCCCCCAAAAAAAAAAAGATTTAATCTTTCTTCTTTCTAAGGCATGGCCATTTTTACGGGATACGTGGACAGAGACTTTTGTCTATTTACCTTTTCTAAACCAGTTTTTACACGATGAATATTGTGCAAGACTTTCAGACGGAGGAGATTTCTACGATCTACAAATAATGGTCATTTTAGCTGGTGTTTACACTCCGCCCTGTTGGAAAATCTCGATGATGGAAAGACGATGGAAAAGGCTCATACAAGCGCAACCGTAATATGGGACATTCTATACAAGCGAAAAAGGCGGCTCCAGTATAGTGGATTAAGACGGAACGATACAGGTCATCGGAACCATAAAAGCGTGTCGTATTATGGGACATCCTATACCAGCGTAGCCCTACTGAAAAAAAAAAACATTTGGCACCTATATGAAAATAAACGGGTTCATACCGGTAACAGTTTAACCATAACTATGGTTTGTGGACGGAAGTCCACAAACCATAGTTAGAAGCGTTGCGTCAGTGTGTCGTGACTTGATATCGGCATTGTTGTTACAATCAGGAGATGTAGAAACCAATCCTGGACCTAGTATCCAGGAATCACTCGACCAGCTTCTTGCTGGCCAATCTGAAATGCGGAAAGAAATAAGAGAGATCAATGAAAAACAATTAAGTTTAGATTCATTTGTCAGAGATGTCCTAACACGGCTGGATAAGGCAGAAAAGGACATAGATGCGCTGCAAAAAAAAGAACGGGACTCTCCTCTGCTACAAGTTATTGCAGATATTCAGCAAGCGAACAAACTACAAGAGAGGAGGCTTGTTGAACTCGAAAACAGGTCCAGAAAAGACAACCTTGTTATATTTGGCATTGAAGAGCAAACCGGCGAAACTGGAGACTCGCTTAAAGACAAGGTCATAAATAATCTTTTCAAAACCACTCTGAAGGTCACTGTAAACAGTGTTGACCGTCTGCATCGTCTTGGTAGACATGTTCCCGAGAAAACAAGGCCAGTCATACTGCACTTCCAAGACCACAGTGAAAAAATGTCTGTTCTTAAGAATTGTCATTTACTAAAGGGAAGTAAGGTTTCTGTCCGGCATGATTTGTCGCAGGAAACAATTCGAACGCGAAAGTTGTTCTGGACATCTGCGCAGCCAGATAAACAAAACGACGCTAAAGTGTTTCTGGTTCATGATAAGCTTCATGTAAACGGTGACATTTATGCGTGGGATGACAGCACACAAACGCGCGTGAAACTGCCCAGCAGCAGCAAGAAACGTGTTTCCACCGCTCCGTGACGTCAGAAGCAAATAACCTTCCGACTTGTGTCATTTAATGCGCAAAGTGTTTTGAATAAACTTACAGATTTCGAGGCAATGCTCCTTGATTTTGACCCCCACGCCACTTTGATAACCGAAACATGGCTGCACTCAGATATACAGGACAGCGAAGTCATTCCGCCGACACACAAAATTTACCGAAACGATAGACTGTCACGTGGCGGTGGCGTTGCCATTGTCCTGAAGTCCGAGTTAGGCGCGTGCCTACTACCAGGCATTCCTAACCACGAAAGTTTGTGGTGTCGGGTTGATTTTTACGGGAATAACCTTGTTCTAGGAGTAGTGTACAGACCGCCTAATGCCTCACCAGTGTTCCTTGAGCAATTATACGACTTTCTTGGGTCTTTTCGTAATGATCGCGTACGACTAATCATGGCCGGTGATTTTAATTTACCCCATATTGACTGGTTAAAAATGAGATCAGCGGGAGCACACGCACGTGATTCAGAGATGTTGCTTGACTGTGCGTTCTCGAACGACCTGACCCAGATAGTGACATCGCCGACAAGGATCGGCAACACGGCGCAATCTATTTTGGACCTGGTCTTCGTTAGTCCACTAATATCATGGTACACTATTGACGTTTTAACAGGGTTGTCTGATCATAAATTGCTGTATTTTACTTCCAACTTTTTCAAAAACGCGGAACTTGGTGGTGTAAAAAAATTGATCGTTAAAAATTATAACGATGCGAGTGATGTTGATGTGCTCGACTACTTGGAGACACACCTCGATGATTTCTGTGAGGAACGCGACTTAGAAACCCAGTGGACTATGTTTAAAAACATTTGCAATTATTGCATTTCGCAGTATGTACCCAGCAAGGTAAAACGCACAAGAAGGAACAATCCTTGGATAACAAGAGAGATTATTCAACTTAAACGTAAATTGCAACGTAAAAAGCGAACTCACAAGTATGGGGCATCTGAACTTTCTCAGATAAAAGAAGAATTGAAAGAAAAGATTTCAACTTCCAAGGAGTTTTTCTTCTCGCAGTCTCTTATCAGTGTTCTAAAGGAAGCGCCCGCTAAATTTTTGAACTTCTTATCAGGAACAAAAAAGTGTGTTGAGTGTTTAAATGTTAGTGGGATTCTTGTCACTGATAAAACCGACATGGCAAACGAATTCAATAGGTACTTTCAGTCCGTATTCAGCCCCCGTTCGGCAGCACAGCCAGAGAGCATCTGTGATATGTCGTCGGCCATGCGGGACCTTGTCGTAAGCCGGGAAGGAATCTTTGATCTTTTGCTTCGGCTAAATGTTAAAAAAGCGTGTGGGCCGGACAATGTGCCTAACGAATTCCTTCGACGCTATGCTGAATGGCTGTCGCATTATTTGTTCGTCATTTTTAATAACTCACTAAAACAAAAAGAGATTCCTTTTGACTGGCGTCGCGCTCGTGTTGTGCCAATTTTAAAAAGTGGTGATCCTCAGTGCGTTTTTAATTATCGCCCTATATCCCTTACTTCTGTTTGTTGTAAAACACTGGAGCACATAGTGTGCAGGCACATTACTGATTACCTGGAAGAAAATAACCTCCTTACCAGTGCTCAGCATGGCTTCCGTCGAGGGCTATCAACAGTGACACAGTTAGTAACAACTCTGCATGATTTTGCCCTTGCTCTAAATAAAAGAAAACAAGTCGATGCCATCTTTTTAGACTTCGCGAAGGCTTTCGATAAAGTACCACATCATAAACTAGTGCAGAAGCTATACGCAATCGGAATTAAAAACGACCTAGTCCAATTCGTTCAGTCGTACCTTTCAAACCGCTCCCAGTTTATCGAAATAGACAAGCAATCTTCAAGTCAGTTATCTGTTTCATCAGGTGTTCCGCAGGGGTCGGTTCTGGGACCGTTATTGTTTCTCATCTACATAAACGACATAGTTGACAGCATAGATGACAGAGTTCGGGTTCGGTTGTTTGCAGACGACTGCATATTGTACAAAGAAGTAGAAACCCATAATGACCAGCTAGCTCTCGAAAATAATCTTCAGAATGTCTATGCGTGGTGTGAACAGTGGCAAATGCCGTTGAACTTGGATAAATGTACATTACTAAGGGTTACAAATAAAAAAACTGTACTGGACTTTCCCTATACAATTAATGGCACTCAAGTTAAAGAAGCCTCTGAAGTTAAGTACCTTGGGGTAACAATTACGAGTAGTTTGAACTGGAATGCACATGTTGCCAATGTTTGTGCTGCTGCGAGACGAGCGTTGTGGTCCCTAAGGCGCAGACTTCCGCTGGCACCCTCCAGTGTCAAGCTCTGTGCCTATAAGACTTTGGTCAGGCCAGCTTTAGAATACGCGTGCGTAGTCTGGGACCCGTGTACACAAAAAGCCATAGACGAATTAGAGAAAGTTCAAAGGCTAGCTGCGCGATTCATATGCAATAGGTACCGCCGCTTAGACAGCCCATCAGAAATGGTAAAATCACTTGAATTGGAGTCTTTGAGATCGCGCCGGAAAATTTTCAGATTGAAGTTTTTGTACCTAATGAAGAATAATTACTTTAATTTAGATTCATCACCTTACATAAAGCACGTCACACGCCGAAATACACGCTTTAATCATGGAAGTCTTTTAGAGCCATACCAAAGCGCAAACAACATTTTTAAAAATTCGTTTTTCCCAAGGACCATAATAGAATGGAATTGCTTAGAAAAAGACACTGTTGATAGCCCTACCCCTGATGTATTTTTTCCGAAATTGCGATGATATATGCTATTTAGTATCAGTGTTGTGTTGAAGAACGTGTGTGTTTGCGACTCTGCCATCCCTTCCCCTTTCTTTTCCCCCCACTCCTGCCTGGGCCCCAACGGGGCCTGCAGTATTGTGAAATAAATAAATAAATAATACCGGTCACCAGTTTGTCAAAGGGGTCACCCGTATGGCTCAAAGGGGTCCCCCGTATGAGCCATAACGGTCACCTTTTTGGACAAACAGGTCACTCCTTTGGCAAACGGGTCGCTCGTCTGGGCAAATGGGTCGCTCGTTTGGGCAAATGGGTGACTCGTTTGGGCAAAGTTGTCGCACGTTTGCTCAAACCGGTGACCAAGTTGCAAACTGCACCGGTTTAATCAAACGGCTCTCCGGAGCCCGTTTGATACTGAACGTACACATCGGCGGCGTGGGCACGCCTAGCGTTTTAGCCGTGGCAGCCAATGTTTCCGGAAGGCTGGGAGCACCGGTTCATCGATTTCAGATCGTCCGCGTAATGCAAGTAATTATATTTATATTTCAATTGCGCTGATCTTCGCTTATACTGCAACTAAAACTAACATCTTTTTTTGTTGTTGTTTTACTTAAACACGCGACGTTGGTGAGCCGATATTTTTGACAGAACTTTAAAACTTTGTCCACCTTTTTGGCCTCAATTTACTTATTCAGCTCGAATCTCTCTCGCAGAAGACGCGACCGCGTGAAAGAATGTACGTGTAGACTCCGTTTCACTTTAATTCAAGACGCAGCGAAGGTAGCACGCGTACACGCGGCTGCAAGAACATCGAGCATTGCGAGAGCACGCCCGCCGTTGCAGCAGTCAAACTACGAGCTCGCGTTGAGTACATTCTTCACTCGGGCGCAAGCCGAGCTTCTGGCCTCCCCGCCGCCATTTACAAAGTTCGAGCATGCTAAAATGCGGGCGCGCGGGATTTTTTTTCTTTTTTCTTTTCGAGGTTACAAAAACACATCTCACTGGAATGCCTGGGGAGAGGGAGAGGGGCTGTCCCTGTGGTCCTCGCCCCCTCCCTCCTCTCTTGTCACCCGTCACGTGACTCGCAGCCGCGCGCGAGCTACACGCTGATCAGCATCGAGATCCGGAAGGGTGCGCCTAGCAGCCGCTTTTTTCTTTGTCTGCTTGTTGTCAGTTCCAGCTCGAACTTAGCGCGTCCACCTGCTTCGATCTGTCGCCTAACCCTGCGGTCTTATTAGGATGTCTTTCGACAACGTATTGGATGTGCACCAAAGCTATCAGTGTTCGAAAAGTCCTACGTCTATATCAGCAACAAGCGATTCTTCGAAGAAGTCAGGAATTCTTGCGGTTTGGTTGAGTTCGGCAACTGACAGCTTGTGCGCCACATCGTGTTGAAACTTCCAAGAAGCCGTTCCCTCTCATTTGTGTTTGTGTGGATAAATTCGGATAAATATAACAACAGTTGCCTTTCACCATTTTCCAGATAAGTGCTCCCACCTATCGGAACATCTACACATGTGGTGCGTGAGTGGGTTCAGAACTGAGAGGCTAGAAAACGAAGCGCTCACAAGGCTTGTCTGGCCCTTCCAACCATGCGGGTACCCATTCGTCGCAAATTCCCGATTTCTAGACAAAATGATTTAGAATGAGCAAATATTGTCTATGCCCGAATTAGAACATTGAATTGTGATTCCCCCATATTGTCCAAACCATCCTTCAAACTGCGGTACCACCTGCAAATGAACTATGTTGTGCTGCGGCACGCGTCCATGCTGCCTGTTTCAGAGGAAAACCACTGCTCGTGTTGAAGACGACATCCCACGATATACAGGCAACAATGTTTAACGAACTAAAACAAAATTGATAACATTCAATAGACAGAGATAGGCCCACAAAGTGTCGACACCATGATTGTTGTTGTTGGTTTTACTCTTGTATACAAACAAAAGTGACTTCCTCTTTCCTCCGATGTACAGTAGAACACCTTTATCTTTGTGGCACCCATTTCTTCTTGAATCGGTCCCAGAGGACAAAATCGCAGCCACTGAATTCCGCAAAATTAAAGGCTGCGAAAATTAAAGGTTCGCGAACATTAAGGGGTTTACTGTTCTTCCATGTGCCACATGATGTTATCATTTCAAGGAGGCTGAAGGTATAGTTTTAAGAAAAAATTGACCTATGAAAAAAATGCCCTTCTCCAGGTTAGGCACGCAAGGTTCTTTTGCACAACCTATAAGTCGGCAAGTTTGTTTCAGCAGAGCTTTTGGTAAAACGGAGTCACAAAAGTGGCTATACTTGGCGTCAACTATTTTGTGCTGCATTATAAAGCTAGAGTAGATTCCACAGTGCTTCAGCACAGCACTGTTTGTTGCGAGAGCATATGTGGTTTAGTGTTGCATTCCATTTGCATGATCTAGAGAAACTAGCGCTGACAGAGTTGGAGCACTCCAAATAATACCAGCCGACTGTAGAAGCATTGAGAGATGCACACATGCAAACTGTGCATTTCTGAAAAGTGGATTGTA